ATTTATAAGCTAAAATAAAAGACACCTCATACATATCAATACAAATAAAAAAAAGTACCTCTGGTTAGTTATTAACACGTATTCTTTAGGAGACCCAAACCAAACCAAACAACTACACTCACGTTTTGTCACCTTGAACACTGTCAAAAAATAAATTGTTTTTTGTTTTTCCAAAAAAAAAAAATCAATTCGCGTCTGTCCTACCAAAAAAAAAAACCAATAGGATAAATAATTAATGTGTACGCGTCGATCAAATAACAAATTTCTTTTAAAAAAATGCCAAACAATCGAAATCAAAGTAATAAAAAAAGAAAAAGAGAAAATGTTGCTGTAGAAGCAAAAGGGTAAGTGTTTTAAGGGTGGTGGTGGTTATCGCCTGCCACTCGTCGTTACTCTAGTTAACCTATAATAATACCTATCATTATTTACGTTCTTTTTCTTTTTACAATATGAACAGTCAAGTATTGATTGAAAAATACTTGCATAAAAAACCATCATCTCAGCAACAACAACAACAAGAGCAACAGCAACAACAAGAGCAACAACAACAACAACAGCAACAAGAGCAGCAGCAACAACAACAACAAGAGCAACAACAACAACAACAGCAACAAGAGCAGCAGCAACAACAACAACAAGAGCAACAACAACAACAACAGCAACAAGAGCAGCAGCAGCAGCAACAACAACAACAGCAACAAGAGCAGCAGCAGCAACAACAACAACAACAACAACAGCAACAAGAGCAGCAACAACAGCAACAAGAGCAGCAACAACAGCAACAAGAGCAGCAACAACAGCAACAAGAGCAGCAACAACAGAAACAAGAGCAACAACAACAGAAACAAGAACAAGAGGCTTTGTCAACAAAACAGCAATTAGTTTATGACATAGCTGTTAATAAACATGAAAATTTATTTTTCACTGGTTCAGCAGGAACCGGTAAAAGTCATGTCTTGTTAAAAATTATAGTTGCTCTTAAAAAAATTTATGGAATTGAAAAGGTTGCTGTAACCGCTATCAGTGTTGTACATGGGACATGTCCGCCTAACAGTCGCAGGACATTGCGGATCTACAGGGGGTCAAGTGTCACTCACTAATAAAAAATTTTTGATCAACACGGAATTT